ATTATTATTTCAAATAACAATAATTTATTAATATAATATAATCTATTCTTTAGTTTTACGTTATTTTAAATAATTATTACTTTTTACTATTTAAAAACTACTTATTTGAAATTTTCATTATTATATTTAAAAAAAAAAACTATCATACTTTTTTATTGTACTTTCATTTTTTCCTTAAAGCTATAAATATTGGAAGAGAATGAACGGTCCAAAGAAAATGGTAATTTGAATTTCAAAACTATAGTAATTGTTATGTACTGTGACCAATCTTAAAAACAATGTGTTAAGAGTGGATTAGGGGAGGAGGAGTGTTACACTTGAGGTATATTTTGATCACTTATATTTTCTTATGAAAATATTAATATTTTATTTATTTTACTTTTCCAGATAAAGAATGAATAGAAAAAACAGGAAATTGACAAATGTAATAAGATAATTTATTTTTATTACTGTAAAACATTTAAAATTGGGTACATCCATATAAGTTTTGGTAGAACATAAAAAATTCATTTTTATAACACACATAATTATTGGTTTTCAACAATAAAGTCATATCATATTAAAAATCATTCGTTCTAATTCGTCATTATCACCAACAATTTGGAATAATAATTGCAAACTCATTTCATCAAAATCAATTATAAAAAACTCCATCGATGTTATTTATAAAATAAGCGATAAAAACTAATATAGTATATACATACCACAAAATACATGTTGAATAATGTTCTCTTATACATAAAATATATTTTCTTAACATAAAAAAGAGAGAGACAACATAAAGATACATACATGTTAACAAAGTTAATTGCTCTAACTTATAAATAGCTTGATGGTTGATTTACCAAAAGCACATGAGAAGTAATTATCAATCCCACTTCATCATCATGTGATCATAGAAAGATGCATAACACATAAACTTAAAAAATGATCTCAAGTATACATTTACAAACATACTTAAATTTGAACCTTGGTTAATATCTAAAAGTTTACATGCACCCAAGTTGAGTTTACATGAATTTATATTTGGAAAAGTTGCAATTGCTTTCTTACATCCATGGAACCACTCCGACAACTCTTCAAATCCTTCAAATATAATCTATCATTTTGTGTTGACATACATGCAATATGTAATCTACAAATTTCTTATATATAAGATAAATATTTCATTTAACTCATCAATTAAATATCATGATTTGAAGAGTTTTAAGAGTTAAAAATCATAATATTTCAATTAATCATAAATTAATTTGTATAAGTTAAATAGTCTTGGGAGTTTCAAATGCATGAGGTTCAAGAAAAAATGGTATTAGGAGTTTCAAATGCATGAGGTTCAAGGAAAAATGCTAGCTTTATAAGATATATAAACTAGAAGAATACTCGCACGTTGTGCATAATACAACAATATATTTGAAATCTTTACAAATATATATTTTTTAAATATATCAATGACGTTATTAGCGCTTATATAATAAATCTTATAAAAAATTGATATAAATATTATTTGTTTTGAATTATATGATAATGTATAAATCTTTTAAAATTTTATAATCCCCATTGTCTCAATTGCCTCTATGTACGGGTTACCCATGAAGAAAATTAAATATAATATATGGTTTAATGATATTTATAGTTGTTGTTATAATTAATTGATTTTAAAAAGTTTATTTGCTTAAGATTTTTAATTTCTATCATTGTAATTATCTAAAACATCAAATATTGTTTTTGTTTTTAAAGGTAATAATATAATTTTTGTATATAAAGTTACTTTTAACTATTGTTGTTGTAAGTTATTTAAAATAATATATTTGAAAACTCTTAATTATTTTAATTTGGTTTAAAAAGTTTAACTTTTTTAAAATTTATTTGATGAATATTGTAAGTTTCTTTGATTGTAATTATTTGAAATAACAAACATTATTTTTGTTTTTAAAGATAACATTATAATTAATATAAATATCTCTTTTGTAAGTATCTATAAATATAGATAGATAGATATAGATATAAATAATTATAGAATATAGATATAGATATAAATGGTTGTAGATGGTTTTATAATTGACCAATTATAATTAATATAAATAATTGTACAGTAACTATAAAAGAAAATTAATATTGAAAAGTAACGTATGAATAAAAAGAAAAAATAAGACATCAAATCATAATCTACTTTTTTTTTTACTCTTGGCAAACAAGTTTATCTAGATAAGATATCCTATAAATAAAAAGATAGAGGATCCAATCATAGAATTTTACAAAGATTGCAATACATCCATATATATACAAATTTTATCTAACAGTTTTTGGTAAATATAGTTGTAGATTGAAGCTGTAGATTTTATTTTTATATAAATATTCAGTAAAAATAATTTTTAGCTTTTAAATGTGTAAAACAAAAATAAAAACTCCGAAAAGCTAAAATCTTCCTTTTCGATTCAACTATTTTTTTATTTAAAACAAAAGCTAAAATAAAATCTTCATACCATCAAATAAAACTTTTTCTTAAAAACTACAAGTTAAAAGCACTAAAAGCTCTCACAAGCTCCACGTCGAACACACAATAAGCAAAGATGCACAGAGCGCTACAAGAAAATGCAATGTGTGAGTAGTAAGAGACAATGACAGATTCAGAATAATAATTACGAAAGTCTGTTGTAATAGACCCTATCAAAGAGCCCAATAAATACAAACAATTAACACTCGATAAACTATAACAAGATGTTCCAATTAACAATTACCAATTATTAAACCTAAAAAGCAATTATTACTTTATTTTTTTGGAAGATTAGTGGTGGGACTCAGAGTCTGGGGTCCATGGACCCGTGGCCTTATATAGATTCGCCGATCGTTAGACACGAAGGCGTAACGTGAAGATGGTGGGGTTGGTTGCAACGATGAAAACTATCGTTTACCTTATGTTTGAGTCATATCATATTATCATGAATATTTCAAAATTTAATAAAAAGAAAAATACTATATCATTGCAAAACTAGATTAGTTAAAAATGAAGAAAATTTAATAATCGTCCCAACATATTTTCCAATAAATATTCTGTTGATTTTTAGTTAATGTACTTTGTAAATCAGTAAATAGTTAATTAATATTGTTTTATTTTGTTAATTATCAAGGAATGTATTTTTGTAAACATATATCGACTAGATATGTAAAAAATATAACAACCTAAATGGAACGAAGAAAAAAAGTATACTTATAACTTTATTCTATTAGAGAATTGACAGATTAACTAATACGAAATTAATTATTTAATAAGAACTTCGATAATTAACCACATGTATATAGTAATCTAAAACAATAGTAATAAAATATAGTGAATAAAAAAACATTTACGTAGCGAGGTGGTAGCTTCTTTTATACAATAGAATATACAAGAGGGTATCTTTCTGCATGGAACAAAATACAATGAATTTAAAAAAAGAAAAAGAAGAAAAAATACAATGAATTACTATAGTCAAATTCTGTCAGCAAATATATTATATTCTGATCATTTCCTTTGTTCGCTGGTCAACAAAGATACGCCATCAGTCGCTCCAGCACCCCATTGGGCAGCCCCTCCATATCTATATATAACTATATCATATATGTATGAATCAATATATATGTACATCCATAACACTTCTCTCGACAATATCATTTAGAAACATGTTTCCTGAATCAAAAATTTCATCTTATGTTGTATCAATCGCTACTTATTTGATATGGGCATGGGATTTCATGACTCATCTTTCTTTCTATCAGCAAAGAGTACAACTTGATCAGGTCGTCGGAAACCATCATCAGCTCGGAGCTACACAGTTTCACCAGAAGATGAGCTCCGAGGAGTCTGTGGAATGCGCTGTGTGCTTGTCCAAGATAGAAGAAGATGACGAGATTAGAGTGCTGAGATGTGATCATCTTTTTCACAAAGGATGCTTGGATCGTTGTATTGAATATAAGCACACCGCATGCCCTTTGTGCCGTGATATTTTAGCTGGGCCACGGATGGTTTGTGAGCTTGGTCGTGAACTACTTGTTTTCGCTTTCTGTTCGAATAATAGTTCTAGTGATGATGATTTTGACAGATGGTGGATCCGGTAAATCATGTGTATATATGCATGAATGATTTACATGAGAATTCTTTGAATATTTGAGCCATTGTTTGTAATCATTGGCAGTATTTAGCTCGCAAAGTAGTAAAGTTACTATATGGACTCTAGTATTATAGAGTCTTATTTGTATATGGGTTTGAGTCACCTGAATGAAATATCTCTAGTACGTTGAATTACATGAAAGTAAACAACTGTACAAGTTAATGATCATACCTGAGGCAACTTCATTTTTGATTGCTTGATTACCTAACTCTATCACTAAGCCACCTCGGTAATTAATTATCAAATCAATGTTTTTAACTTGAAAACCTAATATCAAACTATACAAAAGACGTCTATGAATTAGCAAGGATTTGTAATGATGGAATTCATTCATAGGTGAAAAAACTGCTATATATCTTATATTCTGGAAAATCAACAATGTTAGGAATTGTCTATGGTGACTAATTTATCAAAGAACAAGAAGCCCAAAGGGTTGTGTAGTTGTCGATTGTATATGATCATAAGTGAAAAGCATACAAGGTAATACATTAGGTTAACAACCTAGATAACTATGGTCTAATTATTATAAAAAACACCAACGTTACGGATAATTACTAGGGGTGTAAACGAGTCGAGCCGAGCCCGAGCCTAACCAAGCTCGAGCTCGGCTCGTTTAATTTTGAAGAAGCTCGAGCTCGAGCT